AGTACAAAATCAAATATCCATTGGCTAATGTAGGAAATGGTTGGTTTAATTTCTTTGAGAATTAAAAGTCAAAGCTAATTTTTTCCCTTTCTGAATAAGCATATAGTTCCTATCATTAATAAATTATGGAAAAACACTAGGAAAAAAAAAAAAAAAACCTTCCTCCCCCCCTCCCCCCCCAACATCAAGACTAGAATGACAGTAAGTCAATTATATCTCTGAAACTGTCAGGGGGAAGGTCAGTAGGACACATCCCCAATGCTCATTCCTCTGAGATTGAAAAGAAACCTGTTTAAACATAGAAACCAAGGCCTGGAAGGTCTAATGAAGGTCATTTAATCAGCTGGACATCTGATACTCTAATCTCCTTCATGGTGTCTCCATCAACTCTGCATAAACAGTCCTAGGGAAAGGAAACTCGGTTACTCTTAAGTCCATTTTGTTCAATGTTGGGCAAGTTTGGTCTTTAGGAATCAAGTGTTCCTTACTTTAAACTTAAAGTCTTTCTTCAGAAGATATCTTCCCTAGTCCCAGGGCTACTTCCGGTAGCAACTCAAGATTAATCTAACACCTCCTCTTCACAATAGCACTGTAGCTAATTTAATATATCTAGTTCTCCCTTACCTCTCCCAGATTCATCCCTTCTCCAGGAAATATGCATGATATTTTCAGTCATTTTTTTCATAACCAGGCTGTGAGTCCCTAACCATGGCAGCTGCCTTTCTCAAATAAGATCTGGTTTGTCCATTTTCATTGCAAACAGTGGTGCTCAGAAATTAACTTCCTGAGAGAGGTGTGAACAGGGTAGGACAGAATGTGGCTATTAGTTTGCTTACTAGACACCAGAGCCTATAAGGATATCTATCCTAAGATCACAATCAGAGATCTGGTTAAATCAAATAATGTACATGTCTTTAAAAATAAATCTCTGCAACCACTAATAGTAATGTTTCTGAACAGCACTGAATGCTAAGGGCACACCTCATGATAAATTGTGTGCTAGGTAATCTCCAAGGACAGGTGTCTTCTGTGTATTCCCTCCTTCCCTCCAGAGTGAGCCACTCCCCATGATACGTGGAGTCTATTCTGCCACCTCATAGAACCTGGGTTAGGCCTGTGACAGCTCTGATTGATGGAATGTGAAGGGAGTTCTGGTCTAGAACCTCTGAGGCTGTGTGTTTAAAGACTTGGCAGCTGCTCCTTTTGTACATGTGGAGCCTGAACTGCATGTAGGAAGGGTAGACGCTGCTGGACAGAGAGGCCATATGGATAGGTTCTGGAGATGAGAGAGTGGCTGGAGCAACGGACCTCACCAGCCACACTGAGGTGCTGGCTTGTGAGTGAATGGGCCAGGCATCCCACTCCGAGCACCAAGCACTGTGAGCAGGGACTAGTGATCCTGCTGGGCCCTGTCCAGATCACTGCCCCCCAGAATCTCAGGAAAATCTTGGGAAAAAACAAAATGTTTGCTTTGTCCTGTTGAGTTTTGAATTCATTTTGATCCAAAAAATAGCTAAAATATATTGTTAGGTGAAGCAAACAGCATGCAGAATAGCAGAGCAAGTTAGTTCTTTATATATATTTGTGTGTGTGTGTGTGTGTGTGTCTGTTTATACAGATGTATATGTAGAGTTTAATTATTTGTATTAATATACAAATTATCTCTGGGAGATAAGACCAATGGTGGCTTTAAATCTCATCTTTCTGCTTTTTAGTTTTTTTGTAATTTTTATTTTATAACAAAAAAATTCTTACTATCACATTATCTTTTTTAACAAGTGCTTTTACATTATCGATTCTCATTAAACTATACATGTATGTGTGCATATATTTGTGTGTGCACATATAAAGGAGGTAAATATGTCTTTAAGGGCAGTTTTAACATAGCTCATCCCCAAGAGAATGGCACAGAGAAGGTGCGGGTTTTATGGTGTCTAAACAGAACTCTCCAAGAATCTCCTACTTTGAAATACTTGGCCTTCCCTACTTAGTAACCCCGCTGGAGAAAGTTCTCAATTCTCAGGCTGTACACTTCAGTTATTCCACTACTGCAAAGCGCCTGTTTATGTGGTGATGGAAGAGCAGTCTCCATGGCAACGGATATGACTGAATACCAGAAAGTGTCTAAAATTGGTAAAAGTGATCAGGGTTTCCTCTGAGAAGTAATCCTTTTCCAAGAATTGAACCTCTTTTTCCTCTCCTGTGAGAACAATGGTGTCAGAGCACCTTGCTCAGTCCTGGGACTCAGGCAAAATGAGAACGGGTCAGAGTAAGCGGAAATCGCTGGTTAAAAAAAGACCCAAACCACAAAGGAGCCTCTTCCTATTCAATACTCTAGTTTCTTTTCACTGGAGTAGGAGACTTCTGCTTTGCCACCTTTGGGTCCCTCCTTTTCTGGCTCTCTCCACATGGGACTCTTTCCTTCCTCTCTTTGCCTTTCTGGTTCTTCTCTCTTTGCCTGCTGTGAGCTCTTGGAGGGCAGGGATTGTGTCTTACTCATTCATGACTCCCTGGAGACTGGGAAGGCATAAGTGGACATGTCATCACCATTTCACAATCAACACTTTCAAGTTGCCCTGCATCCCCACTCGCCCTGCATCCTAATGATGTCATTTCCCACAGATTTTCAGTCTGCGAGGTATCTTTGCTGGATGTCTTTTGTTCTATATGTTTTGATGACACTTCCACTACAAATTTCCACAAATTAGCATTTGTTCATTTCCACATTCACCATCCTACTCCTGTTCCTCAGTTCAGACTAGATCACATCTAAGGATGCTGCCAGGTCTCTCTGATCTGGCACCTCCCTCATCTAGGCCACTCTGTACCTGGACACCAGATTCAAGGCTCTGAATTTTGCCACCTAGGTCTTAAACCCACATCTTGATATGCTGAAACCATGGCCTCTTGCTATGCCCACCCCTCCTATGTCCTCCTCCCTGTCCTTCTGCTCTTCTCCATCTAGCCCGGAATTTTTCCTCACCATCCTCTTCTTCTGATAGGCCCCTCTCCCTTCACTTCCATTGCTGCCACTCCCACATGCCCACCATCAGTTACTCACAAATTAAATGTCCTTTCTCCACAGAAGGAATGTTATGTGTTAATTCATCCCTCAAACTCTGATGTTGAAGTCCTTATCCTCAGTACCTGGAAACATGACCTTCTTTATTTGGAAGTTAGATCTTTACAGATGTATTAACTAAGATGAGGTCATACTCAAGTAAGGTGGGTGCAATCCAATCCAACTGCATCCATGTGAAAAGGGAAATGTGGACACAGAGTCGTGCACACAAGGAGAAGACAGCCATCTACAGCCACAGAGAGAGGCCTGAACAGGTCTTCACCTCCCAGCCCTCAGGAGAAATCAGCTCTGCTGATGCCTTGATTTTGGGCTTCTAGCCTTCAGAACTGTGAGACCTTCTGTTGTTCTAGGCCACCCAGATTGTGGTACTTTGTCCCAGTAGCCTCTGTATCAATTACCACAGCCTTAAATTCCCTTTTCATTTAAGAGCTCAGTTTAGCCAACTCTGCCAGAGGTGTTTGGCCACTGCCTTAAACCTGTTCTCTGCTTGTGTCCTAAGCACATTTCTGACTCCCTAACAAGATTCTGATTCCTCAAGGGCAAGCCTTTTCTTTGTGCTTCTTTTTTATCCCTGACAGGGCCTGGTACTTGGCTGACCTGCAGAGCAGGCTGAATTAAGTGGCATTTACCCTAGAGGGTGATTCCTTGCTCTTTGTCAATACATTACAGTTTCTCTAAAGCAACTGAGGTCAGATAAGCAGCCACAGGCTCGAGGAAACCAGAAGGGATGCTGATCAGTAGCAGTTCTATGGGATTCCTGTTGACCTTGGGGAGCACATGGAATCATAGGTCTTAGGCCTGGTAGGTCCAAAGGAGAGAGATTATCTAATCCAATCTCCTTATTTTGCAGTAGAGAACACTGACTTTCTGGGTGTTAAAGGCTGTCATATCCCACAGTCAGAGTTGGTGCATCAGATGGATCCCCTACTTCCCATACCAGTGCTGCCTGCCCCATAGTAGGAGGGTAGCCTGCCAGAGAACTTTCGAAAGGTAGGTCAACATTCATAACTCCAGTAATTTACTAAAGCACCAGTTCAATTAACACAAAAGGAGAGGCAATTAGAACAAAGGGGTGGGGCAGGGGCAGCAGTACGGCTGGGAGCACTACAAAACAGAGCTCTGGAGAAAGTCGGTGCCACTGCACAATCATGACGGTCAGCATGTGTGTATACAGTGCAGTTGATATTCCACCACAGCCAAGGCAGATTCTGGTCACCTATCAGGAGAGGAGGGGCCTGGTTGCAGTGGTGATGGTGGGGTGTTGAGAAGTTGTATGTTTGTGTGCGAATGTGGAGCTCGCTACCACTGTGTCTTGATGCATTGAAATTATTCCTGTGTGCAGCTAATGAGATACCAAGACATCCCCTTTGCTGAAACCCAGACCTTTCCAGAACCAAGTCAAGAAAGACACATGCATCAGAATGCTATTATCCCTGGACGAAGGCATTGAATCCAAACACAAGAGTCCATTAAAGCAAATGATTGAGTAACGTGTAACCATGTAGCCAGCAGCTCTTCAAAAATTATGCCATAAAGAGGTTTTAATGACCTGAGAAAATATTTATGATATTATGTGAGGTGGAAAATACAGGATATAAAAAAAGCATGTCTTCACAAACTCAACCACAGGAAGGGCATGTTCCAAAAGGCGTACAGTTCAGCTGTGAGTTTTGACCTACTTTTATTTCCTCCCCTGTGTGTTCCAAAATTTTATGGTGAGTATGTATCATTTATAGGGCAGGAAGATAATTTTGGTTTTTGGTTTAAAGGCATTGCTCCTGTGTTTATAAGGATAAACAAGTAAAGGTTGTCAGACTCATTGTCTGTGGCTTTGCAATGCTACTGTTCTGCTTTCCAGAAATGTTCTCTCCCAAAAAAGCGGAAATCCCAGCCCAGATGGGTCATCTCATTTACTCACATTCAGAATATTTCTGGAGTTGGTCGAATTCTTCTGCAGTGAGGGTCACCCACCGTTCTTCACTCATCTTCCTGCTGGGTGTGAATACGTGGGGCAGGGACCGAATTGTGTTCACCAGGGTGAATCTGAGGCCCAGTTCAGTGTCTGGCTCATTGCAGACACACCATGGACAGGCCCTTCAGGAGACTTCTGGAGGACTCAAGTGTCTACAGCAGTAGTGGCCACCTTCCAGCTGGTGAGAGAAGACCTCAGGCACGTCCCATCCTTCTAAGTGCAGCCAAGGCAAATTTGGAAATCCTTGCCTCCCTGAGTAGTAGAAAAGACATCATGAATGAGAGTCATCTAATGTATTTCATCTAATACATGTCATCTAATGTGTATATATATATTTAAAAAATCCCCAAATGTTCTTTGCTGAGAGATCTAAAGGAGTTGGAGGTTTTCAAGGTGCAGGTCTCCCTTCAGTGGAGTGTGATGAGAGCAGAGAGAAGAGACCAGGATAACCCCAGACACCTGTCTGTCTCAAGTGGGGATAAGAGGCCTGTGTGAATAGGCGACCATATTCTTAAACTCTGAGAAATTTTAAGTGTCTCACATGAGAGGAGGCCTTATGGCCCCCTAAGGACATCCCCAAGTCATGAAAATGCCGCAGGCTGTTGTTGGGTGTCTCCTGAGTGAAGGTAGCCATGTGAGTGACCAGAAAGGTAAGCCATCTTTTCCTTCACTGATTTTGAATTCCATCATCAGATCTGTTTACCTTCCTCTGATGAGTCACTCTGGAAATTCAAATATCCCAAGTCTGCTAACATCCTGGAGACTGAAGCTGTTCTCTTTCCTTCCAGAACCATGAAAGAGTGATAGAGAGAAAGGCCCAGTGTGGAGGTGTGTGAGGGAGGGAAAGGGATAGATTTAGACACACAGACTTAGCATCTTTTCCTTTGAGCAAGTTTAGTGGGTTGTGAAATAAATGTTGTGTACCAGGACCAGCAGTTAAAAGCATGAAATGGAACAGGGTAGACTGGAGTGAAATGAAATGGAGCTGAATATAAGAGGGTATCTCTTTTCAGTTATTACATACATATGTATACTGATGCTAATATGAAATTTATTTATTATTCTAGTGTAAAGTTTAAAATAATGTTGGGAGGGCACAAAACTACTAGGAGAAGAAATAAAGACCAAGCGAAACACAACCTCTGATATTACCAAAACAAAGCTGGTTTCAATGAAACAGGATCCAGAGTGGAGACAAGCTTCAAGGCAAATCCAGGGAAGAGAAATGATGAAGGGACTGGAGGAAACTGCCCAGGAAAGAGGCCAATTTGGACAGTTTTCTGGAGGCGTGTGTAGACTTAGTTGGTGTGGACCGAGAGCGCTGAACTAGAGCTGAGGGAAAGTGCTGGAGGGATTCTGGCCTTGTAAGGAAGACCTTCCACCCACCAGAGCTTTCCAACAATAGGTGGAATGCGTGGCAAGAGAGTGGGGTGTTTACATCCCTGGGAGCATCCAAGTTTCGGTTTCTTTATTTAAAACAAAAAAACCAAAACTCACTTCTTGGATTCTGCTAAGTGAAATAAGCCAGAAGGAGAAAGATAAATGCCGGATGGTGTCATTTATATGTGGAATAGAGAGAAGCCAAACAAAAGGTGGACAAAGGCAAAATTTTAAACCAAGCCTTAAAAGTTGACTATAGAACGGAGGCATTCAGAGGGGAGTGGGCTGGGGGAGAGACGAGAACAGGGTGGGGAGAAAGTACAGAGGGCTGTGGTGGAGGACTATGGTGCTTTGGTGGTGGGCGCACTGTGGTCAGTACACCTGAAGGGGGAAGCCCTATATTTCCAAAATACTCACAAAGATGTAAACCAATGGTACTTCAATATTTAATATATTAACCAACCGGACCTGCTCTTTGTACTGCTCTGGCCAAGGCACACACTGGTGGTCTAATAGTCCAACCCAGCAGGCACCTTTCTGGCCTTCCTTGCTTCATTTGCTCTTCTGAAGCCTTTGTCATGGCAGAAAACATCTGCCTTGAAACTATCTTACCTTCTGAGTGTTCCTCCTCTGTCTCCTTCCGCTTCTGCTTCTGCCATTGTTAAATACCAGTGATCTCAAAATGCTATACTCAGCCCTCTCCTCTTTCAAGACTCTTTCCCTGAGGAATCTCATCCACTTCCTCAGCTTCAACAACACCCAGGCCTGCTGTTCCAGCCCCGCACTCTTTGCAGTCCTCATCTGAAAATTCACCTGTCTAACATGACCCCTGTATTAGCACCCTCCTACACCCCAACCTGTCCATCCCGTGTGTTCCAGTCTAGCTGTGTGAGAGGAGTCAACACCCAGGCCAGAGACCTGAGGCTCAGTCTGAGTTCCTCTCTTTCTTCTCCTGCCCGTCCACGCACCAATCACCACTGCGTCCCTCCCCTCCACCACACCAGCAAGTTCAATCACTGGAACCTCATCACCACTTCCAGGTCTCTGACCCCTGCCTCCTGTTGGTATCCTGCTTGGGGCTTGCTTCTCCTTCCCTAGGTCTGCTCTCTAAATTGCCAACCAGATCACATCTCTCCTAGTAATAAAAAATTCTTCAGTGGTTTCTATTGCCTGTAGAATGAGCTGTAATCTTCTTTTCACGATTCACAAAGCTCTTTATGATCTGGCCTCTGATTATCAATTCAGTTCAAAAGCGAGGGTGACCTTTAGAAACATTTTCTATCAGGGAATTCATTATTACAACTAGTGTTACAACTGTTGCTGATACCCTTTAACGGACACTTATGACACACTGCGCTATATGCTTTATGTATATTGTGTAATTTCATAGTTGTAAAACAACCATGTAAATCAAGAATTGTCTTCCCTATTTTTAGATGAAGAAAATGATGCCAGGTGTTCAGTAACTATAGTGAGGAGTAAGAATGAACCACCGAGAATTTTAAGAATGCCTCTCTGGTCTTATCCAGTCTATATACTTTTCAAAGCAAGAGCTCTTGAAAACTCAGACATGATAGAACACTGCTGGGCGGGCTTGAAATGATATGGCAGGGGAGTCAGATTCTGGTTCTGCATCTTATTAGATAATTAATGTTAGACATACTTTTCTTGAGACTTGTTTTTTTTTTATTTCAAAAATGGAGATACTAACAAAAGAATCTGTTAGTGTTTAGACTAACTTAATATATGCAAAACACAAACCCAATCCCTATAAGACCCTACCAAGCAAAATCCCTATCACACAGGGGCACTCAGAAAATATCCTCTTTTTACAAATACAACACAAAGCAGCATGGCTTAAACAATTAGCTGACAATCAGTTGGGTGAAAACTCTATGTTGTGCCATGAGCTTCTGCACTTGATCTTAACCTGTCTCAGGCTGTTGTAATTTTATGATTACTCATCAAAATTTTATCCACTAGTTTTAACACCCACTGATGATTTCTGCCTGGATTAATTATTCAATTAATTACTAATTAATTTTCAATTAATTATTTATTAATTTCTGACTCCTATATTTATTATTTGGGATTCCTTCTGTAGGTATTATTTGGGATTTTACTGTAAGAAAGAATTTTCCCTTATCCTTTATTTATATCAGTTTATTTATACTATAAATATTACACAAAGAAATATTGCAAATATATATGAAAGTATATAAATAAATATAACTTCATATTAAATATTTATGCTATAAATTTATTTATATTCATACATTTTTGTTTTTTACTATTATCATTTGCTTTGATTCTCAAATTGTCCCAGATTTGGCCAGTGAAAGCTCATTCAAGGTGGTTCCTTGTTCTAAAGAATATCCCCATCATTTTGGGGGCACATCTTTCTTTTCTGGTACTTCAGAATGTTATAAACTTACGCAGTCAGTGTTAGTTCTGCAATCAATCATTTTTCCAAAGTGCCCTGATTCCTTTAGTGGACAGTGGTGTCTGAAACTAGGTATAGGGATAGACTAAGTGTGCTAATTGCTACTTAGGTGTCGGGGTGTCATTATTTCTAAGTTCTTTTTTAAAAATTTTTTAAAAGATTTATTTATTTATGCACACAAGTACTGGGGTACGGGCCAGAGGTGTGGAGGGTGAGAGGATTCACCAGAGACAGAATGGGGAACAGAACAGGCAGATTGACTAAAATACACTGCTGAGGGGAGCAGTGGGCGAGTCAGGAGAGGTCTCCTATTCCATGTGGGTAGCTCCCTGGCCAGGGATCGAACTCGTGCTGCAGTGGCTGCAGATAGCTTCATAGGTTATGTCTTAACACCTTACACCACCAGGGAGGCCCCTGTTTCTAAGTTCTATCAGGAACAAAATAAGGAAATATATGCATATACACACATCTCAACTCTATCTATCTATTTATCTACCTACCTACCTACCTACCTACCTACCTACCTACCTACCTACCTACCTATTATGTATCATCTATCCATCCCTCCATGTTAAAAACTCCAAGTTCATAATCCTGCCTCCAATTGTAGTCCATCATTGTAGTGTAAATTGTAGACTTCTTCTTGTTCCACATTTTATTTTTTTTTTTTTTTTTTAATAGAGGCATGCTTTATTTATTTATTTATTTGTTTGTTTGTACAAGCACTGGGTACAGTCAGAAGCGCGGGAGGGTGAGAGAATTCACCAGAGCCAGAGCGGGGAGCAGAGCAGGCAGAAGGACCGAAGTACACTGCTGAGGGGAGCAGCGGGCGGCAGGAGAGGTCTGCGCGCCATGTGGGACCCTCCTCCAGTGGCCGGGGAGCAGCCGGGGATCGAACCGGCACCGCAGAGGCCGCGGGCAGCTTCGCAACCCAGCGCTCAACTGCTGCGCCACCGGGGAGGCCCTTGTTCCACATTTTAAAACTCCTTCAACAAGCTTTATTTCCATTATCTATAAAATACTTATTTGCCCAATCCTAAAATATGCAGAAAGTTGTTTCAGAATTGCTAGTCATATTTCTGTGAGTTCCAAGATTTGTTTATGGTTCTTTTGTTTTCAACCCAACAACATAGCTTCAAAATACTGTGTTCAAAAGTGATTTAGATTAGTTCTTTCCTGTTTGTGTCTGTTTGCATTTCACGTTAGGGTTTTTAATTTTTTTCCATTCCCACTGATTTTTTAAAAAGATTTGTTTATGCATACAAGAACAGGAGTACAGGCCAGAGATGTGGGGGCTTAGAGGACCCACCAGAGACAGAGTGGGGAGCAGAACAGGCAAATGGAACAAAAACACTGCTGAGGGGAGCAGCAGGCGAGACAGGAGAGGTCTGCCACACCATGTGGGTATCTCCCTGACTGGCCAGGGATG